GGGGGACAGGCGCAGTGCCATTGGCAGCGAGGGCAGCCTCCCCCTGGGAGCGCTCCTGAGGGATTCCCGGGAGAGGCTGGAGCAGAGCAGAGCTGCACCTGCCGGTCCCTCGGCTGAGGGAAGCACCTCGGAGTTGGCTCCTACGCGGTGCACAGTCCTCCTGTAGAAACCCCTCTTCTGTAGAGTGAAAGAGCTGTCACGTCACCCATCTGATGATCCTTTTCTTTCCTGGTTAACAGTAGCACCCAGTCCTATGGTCCTGCTGTGTTCTGCAGTTGATAAGCTTTTACCCCAAGCAGTGGGACGTGATGAGTGTCTGTGTTTGTCCCCTCATTTCAGTGAAGAACTTGGAAACAGGCAGAAGCACTCCAGGGGTGAAGATATTTCTAGGCCATGAAATAGTCACCGGTGAGCCTTTTCTTACCATGGGCACAGGGATCATGCCCACTCTGAGCTCAGCATTTTTTGGTCACTGCCAAGTTCTTCAGTTGTGTATCTTTCTTCTAAAGCTAGCAGGAATTGGAATGTTATGTAAATCACACAACGTCTGCTCCCCATTATCTAGCAATGAAGCAATAATAGTTCCCTGCTTTGGGAAGGGTTTGTGACTGTATTGCATCAAAGCTGATGAGTGACACAGCAAATAAGGTCCTGTAAGACCACTAATGAAAGTAACCACTCCAAAAGTAATGAGTTGAGATAACTATGCCCCTTGTTAATGTTCTGAAGTCAAGTTGCATTCGTTGTGTATATTCTTGTAGATGCAAGACTTCCACTAATACTCTCCGCTGGGAAGTTAAGTTGCTTGAAGTTCTACTTTCTTTTGCTTTTAACCACACAAGCAAAAGCATCTCTATTAAATGGTCAGGTTATCTAAGCTTCTTCTGTAAGTAGTGATAAGAATATGTGGTTATTTAAGGAAAACATTTCTGGTGTATAAAGGCCCTGTGCTCAGCATCTGCCTTGCTCTGGGGACAAGGAGCAAAGTGCTGAGGGTGAAATAGCAATAAGGAGGCTATTGGACTTATCAGGTGATTAACTGACTCCGTTCTGCCTTTGTCCCTGTACCTGCTCTATTGTATATGTAATAGTCTGTAGAGTCGTTAGTTGTAGTTTGATACTGACTTTGGTTTTGGTGAGATGCTAACCCATTAGTCTTGTTTAAATGCTAGAGTTCTGAAACACACCCTATCTAGACTACTGAGATAAGTTAATTTATATAGATTTGTACATCAGAGTGAATTTAAAATTATTTAAACTGTACTTTTTGAGGTCAATTTCTTTTTTAGTGTCTGTGGCCATGTCCTATGGTGGTTAGTATTGATTGTGGTTCTCCTTTTTGGGCAATAACAAATGTCAAACCATTTACACTCCAGTGCTGACAAGCAACTTTTTGTTTCTGTTGCAGTGGAAGTGGTGGGTGAACCAGATTTGACGAAGAGAACAGCGTTGCGCTCCGAGTACGTTGGAATGTTTCCTTCCTTTCATGGTGGGAGAAGGGGTGGGATGTGCTTGCTAGGGGAGCCACCACTTAGCCTTAGTATAATACTGATGGATGTTCAGACTCAGCTGTGCCAAGTTTGTATTACTCTGCTCTAAAGAGGTGAACAAGATGGTGATTGGAAGGCCTCCACTGTGTAAAAGGTTCTTTAAAGTTATTGCTTATGATTTCTCACTTTGGAAACTTTTATTTCTTTTTCTTCCCACTAGTGTTGCTAGGTAGAGGAATTTGCTTGGTTTGTTTCCTTTTCAGATTGTGGTTTCAGGGAGGATTTCCCATGAGCATTTATTTTGTGGTAGAACAGTCCCAGGACAGTTGCATAGGGAAGGTTAGGTTTATACAGATGCTCTCAAAACATATATAAATGTGACTTTGGAAAGATGGTAAAAATAATGTTAAAAGCTCCTGCAGACCCATGCTCGTAGGTCCTAGGTGTCTTTGCTCTGTCTGCTCACAAGATCACATTTAAATTATTTATTCTTCCTCTTCAGAGAAGTAGGAATGAAGTAGTGTCGACTGAATAATCTTTAAAATATATTTAAAAACACATAGAATTGTGACTAGCAGCAGTTGTCTTTCTTGCTGCTGTCTTGTCTTCTTTCTCCCTGTTAAGTAAGTCTCCGTTCACACATACCTGAACATGCACATGTCAGTAGCAGATTCCTGTAGTAATCCTTTAAATACACAATTTTAGATACAGGATTCTTCAGCTACCTCTAAAGGCTGATCAGAAAGGGTTTTTTTTCAGTTTATTCTCTGTAGTCATCATGGGATGTTTCTATACCAATATAAGGAAATGTATGCTAATAAATTTTGTTTCCCAATGAAGCAGTACTGATCTCAGACTGTCCTGTCACAGAAACTAAGCATCTTGTATGTGACATCTTTCAGTCAGCTGAATATTTACTAACTTTATTTTTTGTTGGTCTTGAGATGCTACCATTTTATATGATTTAGTAAATTCCATTTGGTTACAGTAAAGTTTCAAGGGATATAACTGTTTTAAGTGTTGGTGAACTTTTTAAATCACCTTCCAATTACAGTAACTAACTAATGAATCAAATATATTGTTAATGTAAAGATTTACAGGTATTTAAGTTGTATGGTTCTTGGGCTCAGGTCAGGTACTTAATTCTTTATACTTCAAACTCTTTCTTCCCTTTGAAACCTTTGCTGTCAACATCTGTTCAGGTTCTGCTTTTGGGTTTTACTTTCAGAATAAATGTGAAATTTTATCTGAAATAAAGGCCCTTTTGTGCAAAATCAGCTTATTGTGGGGTAACTTCAAGATTGGTTGCCTTGCTTGTGCAGGTGCACTTCAGCTCTTGAAGGGAACAAACAAGCAGACACAGGAGCAGCAGATTGTGGCCCATAGAGTTCACGTTGCATTTCCCTAGAGAGCCAGCTCAGAGCCTCAAATAGCTTAAAATATTCCCTCCCAGGTGATGTGGGTGTTAGTCAAGCAAGGCAGTTAGTTTGTCTTTGTCGGACAACATATTTTGCAGAGCCTGTGATCTCTTGGTTTGCCTGTATTAGAACAGGGTGTATTCTGAAAGAACAATGGAGCTCGTTATCTGCAGACATGCTCTTTGCCTGCTGATATGTTCACAACAACAGAAGGAAACTCATCTGCTTTCCAGAATGTTTATCCCCTTGCTCTCATCAGCTGTAAAAGTGGCTGTGCAGCACAAGTGATCTTTTGGAGAAATCAAAGTGCTTCAGCCAGTGAGGATTCCTCTTTGGTGATTGTTTTAATCTTGTACTTGTTGCTGAAACGTATGTGGCAAGATAGGTAACGCAAAGCTCAGTGAGACTGCTGCTCTTTATTTCTGTGCTGTCACGTGCTTGCATTGATTTGGTTGTGTGGTTCCTGCTATATACACATATACAGGTACAGCTCCAAAATGGGATCAGCTTGTTCTGTTCTCAGAGCTGTGACAAGAGTGCAAGACCCGCATAGGCTAAAGGAAGGCTAGCTGCATTGGCCTGAGGAATGGGGGAGAAAATGCGCAAGAGTTCATGTGATCTGGAAGAGCCTTTAAAAATGTGTTCTTAGGATATTTCAATTGACTATTATTTTAATAAGTTTAGAAGATTGCCCTTGTGTTGTCATGGATGCATATTACTAACATTTGCATCTTGCCTCAAAAGTAGGGAGAATCTTTAAGAGAACCATTCTTTACCTGTTCATCAGACATTGTTAAGCAGATTCTAAAAAATACTGAAATCTGTCTTAAATTGTTGGTGGCCCCTTGATCACTTAGCTGTACTTGTCAGTTTTATCTTTGTTACCATTTTTTCCCTTCCCTGGCAAGCCTGGGAATCAGGGTGCTTTTCTTTGTAACTGATCTAATTTTTCAAACGGAACTCTTTTTCTTTTATAATAAGAAAAAGTAATACTGCAACTCACTTTTAAACAGACAGGTTTTCTATCAAAAAACAGAATTTACGCTCACGCTCTGGACTGCACATCTGAATCAGCCAAGCTCAGTAGCATGGTGGGCTGTTTTCAGGAGGTAGAGAGGGAAGAACTGAACAGCTAAACCAGAGGAGTTGTTACTCAACTAAAATACATACCCTTGTGCAAAGTGTTGTCATGGATGCATATTACTAACATTTGCATCTTGCCTCAAAAGTAGGGAGAATCTTTAAGAGAACCATTCTTTACCTGTTCATCAGACATTGTTAAGCAGATTCTAAAAAATACTGAAATCTGTCTTAAATTGTTGGTGGCCCCTTGATCACTTAGCTGTACTTGTCAGTTTTATCTTTGTTACCATTTTTTCCCTTCCCTGGCAAGCCTGGGAATCAGGGTGCTTTTCTTTGTAACTGATCTAATTTTTCAAACGGAACTCTTTTTCTTTTATAATAAGAAAAAGTAATACTGCAACTCACTTTTAAACAGACAGGTTTTCTATCAAAAAACAGAATTTACGCTCACGCTCTGGACTGCACATCTGAATCAGCCAAGCTCAGTAGCATGGTGGGCTGTTTTCAGGAGGTAGAGAGGGAAGAACTGAACAGCTAAACCAGAGGAGTTGTTACTCAACTAAAATACATACCCTTGTGCAAAGCAGAGAGAGTATCTCATGATTATTTTTTTTCTTCATTTTAGAGGAGAAAGAAGAAGAAAATGTGGAGTACACAGTTGTTGATTGTTTCCAGAAGAAATTTGGCCCAGCAGTAAGTGTATTTAAAGTGTGCATGTCTGCAGGCAAAGAGGGCAGTGCATGTGAGTTTCCAGTGAGTGGATATGAATCTGCATCACTGTGTTGGTTGCTGTTTTCAGACTGTACCACCAGAGACTGAGGTGAAGGGTCAATATTTAGTGAACAGTTAGTTTGTTTAGGAAGGGAACAACATGAGGATTTGTTAGCAGTACAAGAGGAAATTGATGGTGTAATTTTTGTAGGTGTTTGGAACTCTGTACATACCTGCACTGTTTCAGTCATGTATAACAACATAAGCAGACTTGGTAGAAAGGCTTTGTTTCAGAACTTGGAGCCAATGACATATGTATTATTAAATTGAATAGCATTTTTTAGGTCTTGAATTAGACCAGCAGTACAATAGATCTTCCATGCCATTTCATGTTGCAGTGACAGCATCTGTGATTTGAGCTCTTACTATGGAAGTCTATTCCACATACAGAGGAAAAAGTTCTCCCCAAAGGAAGAGATTTCCCTGCTCATAGAGGAATCTAAATGTTGCTTGGAAAAGAAGCTGGGTTTTAAAATTTTTGTTTATGCCTTCTCTTGTGTTACATGCACAGTGTAGTTTACTTTATCTTAATTGTCTGAAGACCTTTTGTGTCTGCTAGAGTAATAGGTTTTTCTGTTATACTCTAGAAGATTAATTTTCCTTTTTAACTGAAAGGAGCATCTTCTTTATGTAATTTTGAGGAATTTCCTAAAGCCTATTTAGGTTAACTTATTTTTTTCTTTAGGTGCTGCACCTAAAACAGCAGTGTGTTGTCAGTATAGCAGGAGAAGGTGTTAATTTGTGTCATCATGGAAAACTCTTATGGCTTGAGGTAAGATGCATTTCCCAAAATGTGATACTAAACAGAGGTGTGACTGAGAAACATTTGAGGATTAGCCTGTGTTTAAGACTTACATACATAATTGTTTTGGTAAGGGATATGATGTTCTTCAAGACAGATCAGGTATTTCATTAAAATGTGTTACAAAAAGAATTATACCACTATAAGGCAATATAATAAATATTTGTATGTAATACAGGAATATAATAAAAACTTGTATGTGATACATACATTTGTATCTAATTATGTAACATACTTGGTTTGCCATCTTTATATACTCGTGTACAGGTAGAGGTATTACACTGCTATAGCTGTTCCTGTTGAAAAACTGCAAGACCTAATCACAATGCCAATATTATTGAAGGCATAAAATCCATCTAAAGATTATATAGTATTTTAATTGCCTGTGATGTTATCAGCACCAGAAAAGGAAGGGTAGAAAAGAGAACAGCTTAATATGTTTGCTCAAAACTGTCTGAGTTTATTTTTAAATAGGTTTAAAAGTGAGTGTGTTTATCCAAAGCCAAAATGTGTGTGGGAGTTCATGCTTCAAACTTAACTCGTTTATGCAGAAGTAGCATCCACAAAATGTTTGCTTTGCTATGGCTAAATTGCTTTTAAATAACAGCTTTTGTTAAACCATTGTGAATTTGAACATAGGCAAAACCTAAATTTTACATCCTGTTTTAAATGCTAGGGTTGAAAATTATGTCCTTTATTTCTTTGGTAGTGGTCTTTGTCAGTGAAAGGAATGTCATGAGCACAATCATTTTCTTGCAAGTGGTTCTTAAAAATGTCACCAAAGTAGGTGTAGGAATTTATTTCAAGTACTGTGCATAGCATTGGCTGCTGATATGTCTCAAATAGTAGACTGCTGGATTGTTCTTTCTAACTATTGTGAGAGCCTCTGAGCATCTCTGGAAAAAACAAGATTTGTTCATGAATGAGCATTAAGGAAACTAAACCTGCTTTTCCCAACATAAGGCTGTACATAGGAGATGATGACTTGTGGGCAACCGTGCACTCTCTGCTTCTTCAAAATCCTTTGTTTACTCTCCCTCACTCATTTTCTCTGCAACTGAATTGTAGATGGCAACAAAGAGCTGTATTTTTCTATTTGATATCTTCCTTCTGGGACCTCAGGCATTAAAAAATGGATTAAAGATGGTGCTTGAAGACAAAAACATCTTGAAGGTAAGGATACAGGGTGCCTGAGGCTGTTTGTGGTGGCAGAGGTCATATACATATGTAATGATCTGGCTACACCAAAAAAGTTGCAGTTGGACACAAGTTTGTCTGACAGCTCTTTCTTGCTTTAGGTCATACATGACTGCCGCTGGCTCTCAGACTGCCTCTTTCATCCGTACGGTGTCCTTCTCTCCAATGTCTTTGATATACAGGTACCCTTCAGATACTCTGGTTGGGGACATCAGCAAGAGAAACTTCAGCCTAGTTCAGGGCATTCTCTCAAAGAAGATTTAACATTACTAGAATGTGAGAGTTTCATGTAAATGTAGTGGTTTTGTTCTAGCTAAAAAGAACCGGTAGGCAAGGCTGATCATAGTGTTACTTAGAATTGTGTGTAGACCCATTTTACAAGGTAGTTATTATCTAATATTAGCAGCTAGTATATTGGGGTTTTTGGTAAGATGTATTAACTGATTTTGATCAAACTCAGCACAACCAGAGGCTACTGTGACTTCAGCAGGAGCCAGGTCAGCTTATGCTTTATATTCTTTGTTACTCTTTATGTCTTTTTCCCAAGTGTAGAAAAACAGTCAGGCTACAAGTACCCAGCACTGGGAAGAACCTGCTAATAAAAGCAGTGGTAGAAGTGAGAGAACAAGCCAGGTTGCCACAAAAATCTGTTTTTGCTGGTGCTGGCCTTGGTAGTTGTGATGGTTAATGTTGCGTGACTAACAGGAGAATTAGAGTCTTTCAAGGGAGAAGAACATAACATAATGGCCATGATCTTTCATAATGGGCATGGGTATGTTCTGCATTGTTGCGCATGACTTGTTCTTGCCTGTACATTGAGTTTTATGTCATAGGTATGACTACCTATAGTAACTCTTCAAAGCCCTGGTCTGGGCTACATAGTAAGCTTTATACAGCAGAGCTTTCTGTCAGTCCTTTTCTGATCTTAGTTTAGCCTTTTGCCCCTAAAAATTGTTACTCCATTACAGGTCAAATATCAGTCAGTGTTAAGTTTTGACTGCATGAAAAGGAAGGGATAAAAATTCCCATCAGTGCTCCCAGCTGTACTGGCTAGAACATGTAACTGATACAGTGGAAATAACTAACCAGAAATACCCACCCTAGCGTCTGAGGTGCATAGAATTGCACTCATTGTTCTGTTGTCTTGGTATGAGCTGATGTGCATGCATTTCTTGCACTAAGACATCTCTAGGCTTAGATTCAAATACCCTGATTCATTGGCCTGAATCCTACTTCTAATATAAGCAAGCTGATGAAGTAGTCTGTTTTTTTGGCTACCCTGCAGTATACCCGATATGCAATTAAGTTGTCCTGTCTTCTACTTTGTACTGCTGGAGCAAATAACTGGGAAATACCCCTGAACAAACTCCCACAGATCCTTTTTGTGAACCACTTCTTAGGGGCAGATTCTCAGTGTTGTTAAAATTGTAACAGGCTGCATGCATAAGTGAGACTCAACTTAAAAACGACAGCAATAGAATGAAAAACTCTGGGTTAGATTGGATCCTGCCTGCATAATTTAAAAAGTGTTATTTATCCCTGGTTTTGTACAGTTAATGCAACTGTTTATTCCTTGCAATGAGTAACCTAAAATAATTAACACCACATGTTAGAGGATGGCAATGAAAGGCTTCTGGTGTTCACTGACTGTCTTCCTTGTTGGTGTTCTTACAGTACTTAAGCGTCATCATCTGTTGAAATAACTTTTAATGATAATGTCTGTGGAAGTCTGATACTGCTAGTTCGCATTTGCCCACCCTGGCATGTGTGTGTGTGTCCCTGTTGGGCTATAGCAGCAGAAAAAGCTGCACAGTGAGCCCACAACTGGCAGTTGTCAGTGCTTACATCCCTAACGTTGCTTTCGGGGACACTTCGTGCTGCATCATGAGGCTACAGCACTATCATGCTCTGAAATGCGTGTCAGTTTAAAAATGTTGTTGGTTGCATATTTGTGTAGTACCAAAAGAAATAATACAATTCTTCAGAAAGAATAAAGAAAATTTGACCACTTGAGACTTTCCATAAGGCAGAGAGGTCCATGCAAGGTTTAATCATAAAATGTACAAAGGAAGAAGTCACTGTTGCTGTCTGGTTCCAGAGATCAACGCACATACACTACTTTTTAGCCTTTTGCTTTTCTGCCCTTGAATGAAAACCATTAGCTTGCCATGACTTTGGACAAAGATTTTTCACAGTGAAAGCTAAAACATGGTTTATTCTATAACCTTGTTCGTTCAGATTAGACTTTTAATAAATATTGATTGCAAAGATGCTTTCATTTTTGTTTTTCTCTCCTTGTTTGGAAAGCATTTACATTTTTTATTAGAAACACTCTCTCTAACTATCTAGAAGAATGGACTATATTTTTGTAGATTTGAACGTCATCTTTGTTTTGATTTTGAGTAAAAGTAACTGATTGCTTGAGAAGGTCTTTCCTGAAGTTCATCTTCATCTGCATTTGCCTACTGAGAAAGAGAGGCCAGTGAAGGTTTTAGTGGTCAGAAGTGCAATACGAAGGTCTGCTTTGAGTGTATGTAATGAATGATGGAAACTTCCTCCTTACCTGGTGATTTGTGCTTACAGTCCAGTGAAGGTCATCTTCTCCTGGGTCTCCTCCATTTTATTCTCTTCAGTGAACTCATCAGTTTGAGTTATTGCAGTTCCTTTCTCCAGGTGTGTTTCCTGCCACTTTTCAGCTAGTGGTTGTAGACTTCTTTGGACTGCAGCAATGTAGTCGTCCTAGCATAAATAGAGGCAGTCCTAGATTCTCTGTTCTACCACAGAGCATAGAAGGTCTCACATTTCTTTCCGTAGTCCAAGATTGGTTGTTCTACTTCTGGTGCTCTAACTTTAAGCATGTTTTTCATAATATTTTCATACAATCTTTTACTCCTTGGAGATTCAGTAGATGGATTGATTTAGCAATTTCTTCTGGTAAGCTTAGCAAATAAATGACTTCTCTCCCAGAGAAGGCAACATTTCGCTATGAAGATGATGCCTTAGAGGCAGCTTTATTCATTAATAAATCATACCAACTTGTTTGCCTTTGCTATTTGACAGGAAGATTTTTTATTATTATTTGTTTTCTTAAAGATTTTATGGTTAAGTTAGGAATAGGGATTTGGCCTTGGAATTTACCCTCTGTGTAAGATGCCAGAAGAGGTCAGTTGCAATTCCGTGGTCACTATTGCAGGGACTGAGCTGGGGCTGCTGAGTGGTCTAGGTAGCAGATGGGCAGCATCTGGCAGAACAGCTCAAACAGTGGCTCCAGCTGTAACCCTTGCAGTAAAACTTGCTGGCCTCTGAACTCATGGTTTTGTTGGTGGGACGGTGGATGCTTGTGTTGAATGTTGGCTCAGGGTTTCTCAGGAGAGAGTAGCACGGGAGAAAAGGGCTATGAGAAGTCAGTGGGGATTTCAGGGGACCAGTGTGGGAATCTGAGCTTTTGAGTAACAGAGGAAGTCTGAATGGTAGGTTGTTCTCATGACAGATAGCTCACATCTCAGATTTTGTGTGGATGCAGGCTTTTTATTTTTCCCTTTCCATTGCCCTGCTGAGTCTCTCTCTTCCAGGCTTTCCTTCTTCCATTGTCTTTGCTCTGCATCTTTTGCAATATTTCTAGTCATCTTTGTGTTCTGTAGTTAGGGACAAGAGTCACGGCTGTTCCTGCTCTTACTGCGGAAGGGTAAGAGGGATGAAAGCAGGATGAGAAACCAGCAAGCACCATGCCATCCAGTCACTGCTGGAGGCTGCTGTCTGCTCATCATCTGGCTCTATATGCTGCCAAGTGCTGCTTTGACAAATGACATATTATTTAATATGTTTTCCTTACATTGCATCACTATTTCAGGTTTTAGATAAAAAGCAAACCCTTAAGTATCCTGGGGAAGTATCACTGTATGTTTGCTCTCTCTGATACTGCTTCCAACCATCTGCTGTCTGGAGACAAGTACTGGCCTAGAAGGAGTCTTAGACTAATGCAACATATAAGCAACTTGCACAAATTTATCCTTTTATGTAACTTTACAGCTTTAAGGAGTCAGATTATAAGGTCTGCAACTGTATGAAGTCAAAATGAGGACTGATTTGTTTGCAGCATACTTTACTTCTGATATGCATCCCCACTGTCAAACCACCACATTCTTTACCTTGGGTTAACAGATGCTGGTCATGACATATTGATCCCTTCCATCACAGGTTGCTGATGCTCTGCAGTTCTCCATGGCAACAGGTGGCTTCCTTCCACATCGTGTCTGCACATTGCAGGAGTGTCTGATGCAGCACTTGAAGATACCTTCCAAATGGGATGCCATAATGAAGGGCAGGCAGCAGATGGTTTCAGTGAGTGATTCAGTGAGGCACCTTCAGAAGACTCGATTGTGAGCTGTGCTTTGCCCATCTTGAGATGTTTCTGTTGTTTAAGAGCACAGCACTATGCAGTGGTCAAACTGCTGTAGTTAAGGACATTTTGTAACACTTGACTTGGGAGACAGATACAAGCTGTAGTTGGCCTGGGTGCTCGTGCTGGTATTTCCTAATAGCTCATTTGAAGTAAAGCCTTTGAAGATCCATGAAGCAACAATAGAGGATATAAATAACTTGGCTAAAAGATGTTCCAGATATTTCAGTAATTTGACTAATTCTGAAACTTAGTTC